GTATCCCAAGCCAACCTAATATGTACTATATTGCAGAATTGTCAAAGCACAACTCATACAATATTGGTAGGATGTCAAAGTCAGCAAATACACGTTTGAACCCCATTTTTCACCACATGTTATGGGACATTTTGAACGGATGGGTGATATTTGTCTTAGCTCGCTTGTGCACTCGACCTTGTTTGGACTAAGGGGGCCCACCACCATTGTAATACACTGATCGAAACTTTGCCATATATCTAGATTTGTTCGCTTTTATCCTAGGGGATTCTACATATTGTTATTCACTATTATCAGGGCATATCTTCTCATTCATGTCAAATTGCGGTTTTTTATTTTTGCACGTTGCCAAGGCCATGATATTGTTTTTTGCATTCTCCTCCTTTTCATCATCAACCAATTATATTAGAGAAGCTTTATTTTTTTAGTTCTCTTTTGCAGCCTTTCATCAAGATCATGGCAGCGTTATCTTTGCAATTTCTTGCAGATTTAGTCATAAATTCTGGCCACAAACCTGTTGTCATCTTCCCAACTAACTTTATTATTGCACGCGCATTCCATGCCCAGGGATAGTCATTGCTGTCCTAGGCGTACAACCAAAACCAGTAAGCGATATTCTAAATGAGACTCCACCACACGACAAGCACAACTCTTGAACACTTCACAATACCACTAATAATCTATTCTTACAACCAAGAGGATTGTTCAAGGATTCACCAACTTGATCCCCAACTCAGCAATCCAAGCACCCTTTGATTCCACCAACACAACCAAATTGCAGCACTAGGATGTTCAAAACGAACAATCACTCCACCTCCCCATCGATTCCAGATTCAATTGTTGTTACCATCCAGCACTTGAGCCTCTAATCCAGAAGATCCCCCGCATTGATCCCAACTCCACTCCAAATGATCTAGAACTTTGCCCCATGACTCCTGGACTCCTTTTGACAATTCGTCTGGTTGGTTCTGAGGCCTAATTCCAGCTCCTTCCCATCGCTCCAGTACTTTAGGCCTGCTTTGGGGTCCTGATTGGTCCCCTGGGCCCAGAATCGGGGGTGTACGAGTGCTTGGCGCAATTCGCAAGTGGACCAGCGCCCCCCCTCTTTATCCTACGCCACTGCCCCATAACACCGCTCCCTAACACTATCACAACATCTCTTACACCATAACACCCCATGCCTTATCCCATAGACTTTGGCCTTACACCATTGCCCTCTTAATGCACTTCCTATTGAAGTACCCTATTCAAACACCAAATCACACAACGAATTCACAAATTGCGCCCATAATATTCTCCCTTCCCATTAGAATCCCCCACACTCGCCAGAACTCATCACATACATCTCCTAGTGACTCCATCCCATTACTCCATCACCATTTTCCTTTATCCCATGCACAAGTTGTGCATGGGATGGTGTTGTGCAGCACAACACCTGGTGTTGTGGAAAGAGCAATAGGGTGTAAAGTACGTTGTTGGCTGGTCCAGCCAACAACGTACTTTACACCTTATTGCTCTTTCCACACTTCTCTCACAGCGCCCACAGCACCCCACGGCACTCACACACGTTGTCAAGGGTGGCAGTATGGTGAAACGCTCTCATCACGGTCCATCACACATTTGCCACCATCCTTATGTAATGCATATAGTGCACCGCGCCCAACGACTAGTGCCACCAAACTCACACCTATAACCCAGCGTGTGTGACCCCATGGCATATAACACTCGCCCATGGTGATGAAACTAGATGATTAATAATTATCATAAATAATATTAATGAGTTTAATGATTCAAATGATTGTCATTTTAACATAGGATATCAAATTTCGTCAAAATGACGCAAGCATTACAATGATCATGTTTTCATCACCAAACTATACCATCTAAATCATATAACTCATCAAAACTTCTTGCCAAATCATCTAAAACATCAATTGACCCTTTCCACCATTGTGCACACACTAAGTCTTGCCTCGATGGGGAGCCAGTCACCGTATGTATCCTATTGTAGAGTGTAAGCATTATTGGCGACCCGAACAATTGTCTTGTGAAGAAATTTGGGCAATGTCTTCCCAAGGGCGTGGGCCTTTCAATGCAGTTTGTCATCTGGCATATTTATCATGATATCACTGTGCCTCTTTGGTTTTGTTCCCGAGGCTTGGACCAGCTTTACAGAGGGCGTTGTAGTACTCTTTTATATTAGAAATTATCATTATGTTTTTTTTTTCAATCTACCCATGTACCATAGACACAAAATCGATCCGCTCATATACTAATGTATTAAATAGTAAAATGCAACTTCATTAGCATGCCATTCCAGCTACTTGGCCATGTAGAGCGATTTATTTTCATTATAGCTCTTCTGATTGGTTGCTTGTAGTATCCAAGTCAGCTACCTTATGTCTGCCATGACCTCGACTTTTAATGTTTGCAATTGTATGATTGACGGTAGGCTTAACATCTTGTTAATACATTACACTAATGTACAAGGAGGGAAATCCAGAACTCGGGCATGACAATTCGTATGATGGTGATGATGATGACAATTTGTGTTTTCAGTTTGCGTGGCCCCAATGCCAAGAAACCATCAAAATCCCTTTCCATATCAGGCGGGGGAGATGGTGCACACTGGCACATGCTGCTTTTTGGTTCCTCTGCCAGTCAGTCCAGAAAATGGAACACCAGCCCAGATTCAGGCTGGTTGCCAAGTTGGCAGGACGCGTACTTGTGCATATTACTCAGCTACCAAGTTGAAATTGTCCTGTAGTAAGAGAAGCACCATCTCCCGTCACATTCAAATCTGGCGCTTCCCACCCTGCGCCGTCCTAGACGTAAACACTTTAACTACATTAATGTTGCTTCTGTTGTGACTATTATGGACGCAATTTATGTGTTAAATTAGTAGTCGTTGTCAACATTTATGAATGAGGATATGTTTGCGCATTGAGTCTTGAAGTGTGAATTGCGGTTTAATAGCAAACACAGGCACTTGAACAACTGGTAAGCGGGTTAATGGGGATGCAGGACAACGGGGAAGTAGTTGATGCAAATGAGCGGTAGTAGTGGCATTTTACTTGACCTATGTTTATGGAGATGGTGAGGCAGGAGGCCAATGTTTAACTCTGGCTTGAGCGATGTACCGATGCCATGAATTTTAAATCAGCAATGCTGCAACTGCAACATTGCTATGAGCCTCTGGTATTCTAGATGCTAGTAATAGGCATTTTGGATAAGCTGAGGTGCTTCTCAAAGATGCCAACATCCAGAGGTATGATGCATTCCTATAGATTGAGCATTGAAACATCGGCTGAGCAGCTGCAGCCACTGATTGAAGCACGCATGAGGGCCCATGGAAGCCCATGTTGGCCCTTCAGGCCCCGACTCTGAACAAATGTGGGCATCACATGCAGCAAAGGAAGCTTGCTTTCTGCAACGAATGTTGCAGCAAGCAAGCGCCGCACACCGTCTTCTGAATGCCCAGGGGATTCCAATCCCTAGACAACTGACTGGCATGGATACTTACGTGGTCGATTTGGCACACCAAGGGCAGTTGGTGGACGGGGCCATGATGCAAGGGACTGTGGGCAAAGCAAAGTGTTGGTTCTTGGGCGGAATGGAGTATCAAGATCGGCTCCAAAGAGTCGCCTTGGATCATGGCTGTCTCCCGAACTGGGAGGAGCTGGAGGGCAATGGGCCGCTGGCCTTATGTTTAGGGCTGGGTGGGGCCCGAGTTTGTAGTGGCAGGTCACGCTGACTAATTAGGCCATGGAGCGCTGTGTCATGCGCTATGGTTTGTTGCGAGGACCCACATCTTGGTTGGCCTTTGAGCTAGAGCATAGCGCTTGCCTTGGCGGCATGTCAGTGACTAAGGCTTTGAGTGGATGCTTGGGAACAGGCATGGGAAAGCGCGGAACAAGGCGTGGACTTGGACACGCGGTGGCATACACTTTTAATGGTCAAAGGAAGTCAGAATCCCTCTGATGACACTCCTGTGGCGGATGCATAGCGCTCATTGGATGTGAGGTTGGTAGGGCGAGGGGGGGGGCCGTGAGAGGTCAGGCAATTGGTGTAAACGTGACGTCCAACATGCCAAAATCGACTATGTGTCACTCGGGGTGACACATGTAGGATGACTCACCCCGCATGCAAGAATGATAGTTGCAACACCCGCTGGTCACAACAAAAGGGTGCACGACGACGTGCAGTGAGGCAATCTTGCTACGCGTGGTTTATATGCTTCGGCTTCGGCTGGCGAAACCTGACCCTCCTGCCCCCCAATTCCCATTCAACACTTTGGGCTGGTGTCATCCTCCGGACGCGAATAATTTACAAGCTGCGGTGCACCCCATTCATATCCACAGGCCACGCAGTGAATTCGGCATGGGAGTGGGCGCGCCCCCACCAAACTTACCCTAGCCTTAGAACAGCTCCCAGAATAGCACCTGAAAATTGTGGGCCAGGCAGAGGCCTGAACTAGGCTCGTCCTACAAGTCGGCGCAACTAGCAGCCACTCCACCACACATGCTTGGGCCAGGGTGGCCACAGGAAATGGTCAGCAAGAATCCAATGCTACTTTTGCACCTTTGAACTGAGCTGGCATTGCTAAACACTCTGCATGGAGCAATACGAAAGCCTAGTCACTATTTCCTTGCCTACATCATTCGCTTTCCTACACTACAATACCTTGCCCTCGCCGTCTAGTCACCTTGTATTCAAGCTTGACCGCGGTTTCGCTCCATTCTTTGCCAAGCAAGCAGGAAAAGAACAACAGCCCGACTGGGCCACCGTCGCACATGCGACCCCGTTTGAAACGGGCGGTTTCGCCAGGGGCAGGGGGAGCAGCAGCCCCCTGGCGCCTTCCCAGGGCGGCCACAGGGACAGCGGCGCGCTGGAGCAGGATGCATCTCTTCGTCCGCCTCTCAGCGCACGCACGGCGAGCAGGCGGAGGACCGAGCAGCGCTGGAAACACTACAACGCGTCTGACAACACCAGCCCAATTGTCACACCCCGGCGTGCGGGTTGAATGACACAGCGTTGGGATTGAGCCCCCTGCCCCCTCGGCCAACCCCGCCTCGCAGGTGGTTGCGCGGCCCCCGGGCCCCTCTCCTCCGCCCCTCTCTCAGCCCGGCGCCGCCCCGCTGCTGCCCCCCAGCGTGCTGTCCACTTTGATGACACTCCCGCTGCTGCCACTGGGCATCATTCTCATTCCCCCGCATCCTGCCGCGCGCCCGTCGATTCGAACGCCCGCCCCTGTGTGCCCCGCCTCGGGAGCAATCGACATCACCGCCATCGGGCTGCCAATCGGATCGTTGCCCGGGAGCCGGGCCAGGAAGATCGTGGAAGGGCGAGAAGTTTGGGGCGCCTGCCGGTTGATTGGGGTGCGGGAACTGGCGCGGTGGCGGGGCGTCGTCAGCGGGCCCTGGGGCCCCAGACGAGGTGGCGTCGCTCATGAATCGACCCGCTGAGTCGACCGCGTCTTGAAGCTCCGCACTGAGGGGGGAGCGCGCAGCGTTCACCTGGTGGGAGGCACGCGTGGGCAGTCAGAAGCTGGCGGATTGAGGGACTGCAGAAACGTGGCATAAGGAACAGACTAGGGGAAGTGAGGGACTGGTAGAGCGCAGGCGCCGAAAATTGCAGCGCACAGGGACATTACAAACTGATGGACTGCTGGCAAGGCGAGCCAATGCAAAACCAACGATAGGAATTTGGTGGAGGGCGGGCTGTCCTGAACTGATGCAATGAAGACGAAAGTTGAGGAAAACTGTTGCGATTGGCCGCACACACAGGTGTATCTTCTTGAATATGACCAAGCAACAATCTCTGGGCAATTTGCCATCATTCCAGTACACAGCGAGATGAGCACTACCTTTTGAGCAAAGGCCCGTTGCAGCCGCTTCCTCAGGACGCACAGACTCATGGCCATGCCCTCGGACGCCTCGAAGCGCAGCCACCTTTGCAACAGCAGCAGGAAAGTTGAAACAATAAAACTCCTACGCGAACCTTCGACCATTCCGTATGCCTGCTGCTCTGACTGACAATATCGCAGCGCCCAGCACAGCTGCCCTGTGTCTGACACCCAGGGTCCTAGTTCCCTACCAGAATGAATGAAGGAATTGCCCTTGCAGCCATCGTGCAAAGGACTGAATGGTCATGGCCACACAGTTACTCAAGCCTGTCCAGCACCCTTGGTCATGTTTGCGGCGGTCTGCACAGACCTCACAACTGCAGCCAAGAAAATCCTTAACCCTGAATGCTGACGATTATGTCATTATTATGGCAGTCCACACAAATGATGATCAAGAATCCTCCAAATTCGAAAACTCTCCAACAAACAAAGAAAGAAACAAAATTGTACACAGGGTCCAGGCAACGCAAATGCTCCGCCAAGTCCTTCCACTGCATCGCGGCACATAGTGGATGTGGGAGCTGATCAGCATGGCAGACAGGGTCACCTGTCGATGAGCATGACAGTGTTTCTCCTGCGGTGCTTGCCCCTCTCGCGGCCGTGCTGCTCGTGTTGCTCCTCCTCATCCGGTTCGAGCAGTTCCAGGGTGCCGGCGATGAGCGGCAGGGGGTGGGGCTGGAGGGCGGTGCAGGACCGGATGTACAGGCGCGACTCTCCACGCGTCAGCTCGTCATACGCAACCAGAGGGCAGATGGCCGACTCCCCTGCAGGAAAAGAAAACAAAGCTTCCAGTTTCCTGGGAGAGAAACAGCCTTCCCAGGAAAAGACTGGTATCTGGCAGCAGCACTTGGTCGCATTCAGTATCTAGTTGGTAGTGGTCGGCACTTGGTTGGTGTTTAGCAGCATTTAGCCGTACCCTTTTTGGCTGGGGTTGTTCCAAGGGACATGGACAATTGCGACTGGCTGCGTAACAATGCACAGCAACAGCAGCGCACACACACACACCACGTCTGCCCAGACTCCAGGGAACTGCTGCAGTTGAGTAGCACCTGATGCTGCTCAACTGGTTCTAAACCTGAAAAGTTTAAGATACATGTCCCATTTGATGAACATGGAAATCCAACTCTGAGCTGAAGAAACCACAAAACTGAGCCTGAGACACCCTCGTCGCTAAAAGTGGTCCCCACACAGCATGAGCAAAGGATAAAACAACACAGAACAAAAATACAAGAGAAAACAAAGGAGAGTGGCAGTTGGGGAAAAACGAAAGAATGAATTAGATGAATGACTAGTGGACACATTCAAGTCGCACGATGGGCAGCAGCGTTACACCATCCTGTGACACACCTGCCACGGGCATGGGAGCAGACAGTTTGGTGTTCACGGATGCAGGGTGGATGAACGCCTTTTCGCCCTTTCTTGTCCAAATGACGCCCGGCTTTCCAAAATCGGAGTAACCAACCCGGGGATACAATCCGCATGCCTGCCAAGCAAAATTTCGTCAGACAAGCCGCATTTACGTCCACTGCAAACATACTTGAATATGACTAAGCAGGTGTACATACATGATGGCCAAACATTTCCATTGAATATACGAAACATGTGATTACACAACAACTGAAATGACTTTACGTGGACACATCACACATTTGTAGTCAGTGGCCCAGAACTTGCCGCACAAGGACACATTCGCCCATCTCACTGTCAACACAGATAGGATTGCCCTGCGCCTTGCTGCGAATGATATACAAGTTTGGTAAATACTACATGAAAGATGAGAATGTGTGCTTGCAAAGCAGCAAGCACTTGGCAGCGCACGCAACTTTAGCAGGCGCTCGCTTTGGGCGTGCTTGCAGAATGTCATGAACTATTACCAAGCAAAAAATGGAACAAATGGAATAAACATGGGGAAAACGTGGAGCGAATTGGAACAAAAGTGGTACTCAAATGGAATGAAGCAATTGTGACAACACCAGCGACAGGAATGAGTGGCACCAGATTTCCAGTCAAACATTTATATGTCCAGGGTTCCGCCGCTTCATCCGAAGGCAGCTTAGTCAATAGGGAATAGCCATTGAGTACACCTTTGATGTGAGAGACACAACCCTCTTGAGGCCCAGCAAGGGACAGCAAGGCGATGCAAGGCGCCAGGCTCCAGGACCTGGGCTCGGTTGTGTCCACCAAAATTTTGCCAACATGCTAATATACCAGCACACCATTACAAGTGTGCGTATGCCAGTACGCACGTGCCTGCATCTGCCAGTATTTAAACCAGCACAACAAAAGCCGCGAGTGTGAAACAGCGCCAACAACACAGTCAGCACTGCCTGGTCCACCCTCAGAGACTGCCCTAAGCTGAGGCAGCGTGCCGGTGCCCATGGCACCAACAAATCGTTCTTGGCAATTCTGTGCCATTCAACACTGACCAAAACTGCACCGATATTGTGCAGTTTCCAATTTCGCATTTCAGATTTTGCACTTCAATTTTTCCGCATCAAATGGCCCATGCACCACCTGCACAGCGCAGCCACACTCACTAGAATGCATCTCACGATCTCCCCCTTCCCAACCCTCGCAGAGCATGACTCTATGGACCCCGCCAGCCCCTGGCGGTGCAGCTCCCCCGCCAGCTGCTCACGCATGCCGTGGATCATCATCAGCGTGGAGTTGGACACGAAATTCTGCCGGCAGAATTCGCGCTCGCGGCCTGTGCGCTTGGCCAGCAGCCATTGCCCGTAGACCGCGACGGTGGCAAGGTGGTCGCTGCCGCCACCGCCCAGATCCGCCAGATCGGTGCGGATGGACTTGGCCATGGCGCGCTCGCCGTCGCCCGTGGGGTTCAGCCAGGGGTCCCTGTGAGGCGCCAGCCTCTGGGTGAGATATAGCAAGAAATTGGGAAAAATCTTTCCCAATTTTTTGAAAATAGGGAAATTTGGGAAAAGGGCGGTACGATTTGTCACACTCCAGGAGAGAACGAGGTCACACAAGGGCACCCCTTCCTAAGCAAGAGTGTGTGGGACTCTCCATGTTGTGATGAGATGGAGCATAGTCTCAAAGTGCGAAATGATGGGCACACAACACAATCACCAGAAAAGGGCAAGAAAACATGCACTAAGGGGGCCAGGAAAGATGGGAGAAATCTGGAAAATGGTGAAAACCGGTAAAAATGGTCAAAAACGCTGAAATGCTCAACAACGGTGGTGAACCATGATGAACCGTAGTGACAAACGGCACATGGTGGGATAACATGAAAATTTTGCAAAATGACCAATGATATTGATAATATGTCTGAAGTTACGCGCATTCCCCATTATAACACAATTTGCTTTGCAGTACTGATTCTCATTTGAGGCTTTTTAAACCTCTCCAGCTCCTTCAACTTTCCAGCAGATTAGCACTATCTAAACTTCGTCCCTCATGTGGTCAGCTGCCGCATACTTGTCGTCCCTGTGGTGTTTGGCCAGAGGACCTGCAGCAAGGTCTCAGATCTCCACAAGACTAGCACCCACCACAGGCTGCAGTCCTTTTCCTCAAAACCACAAGCTCTTCAGTAGTTCTTGTACCCGCAGCCCAGCCAACCCGCGAAAGAGCCCATAGTTTCAGTACAAGACCTAAGGAGTACATAGCCGAGAGCGCCAAGCAACAGCCAGAACTCGCTTGGCAGCAGAGAACCAACTCCCAAGGCCAGCAGCTGGCTGGCACTCAGCCGCCGGCTGGCACTCAGCCGCCTTGCCCCGGAATCTTGCTCTGCTTGGCGTTTAGTGCAGCCTGATGCTCTTGAACCGAACCGAACGTATCCCACTCACTGCACTCCAAACCTCACAACCAAACTTTCAGCAAAGAAGACTGCGGTGCCAACATGCTGCACAAGCAACAAGCAGAAGCTGGTCAGCAGCGTAGGGCAGGGTGCCCAGGCCCACCTGTAAGACATGCTGCATGCCACTGTGAGAACAGGGTCCAGGCACTTAAACAGGATGCCATACAGGCACAGCTTGCCAAGCTGGGGCGGCAGTGGAAGTGCTGCCAGATGGCGGCCAAGGGTGGTCAGGCATTCATCCTCTGTGAGGGCGCCTATGTCGAGCAGCACGCTGCGAGCGTGCTCCACAGCCTTCGGGACTGGGGGCGATGGGGCGCGGGCCAGGAACTTGGCGATGGACTGGGCGCGGCTGCCAGGCATGTCAAGCATCTTCACCTGGGGGGCGCAAGCACCGAATGTCAATTGGAAGGGTGTCAACGTTGAATATTGTTTATGATGCTGAATGGATTGCACAGCCAATAGTGTGTTTCTGCCACAACATACACATTCTAATCCCAATCTTTACCTGGGGGCAGAAGCAACAAAAACAGGCTCAAAACGCCGAGCACAGATATTACAGCCACATTTAGTACTGCATCATCTAGCACTGCACTGTCGTTCATACCACATATTCTCTAATAGCTGAGTGCTAAAGTGAGACTATGTGCCAAGTGTCGAGCAGCATCATAAAAACTGTGCAAAAAACTGTGCAAAGACTCAAGCGACGACAATGCAAAAAGACAAACCAAAACATGAAAACTAAGAAATCAAAGAAGTCAGCCAGCCAGCCCACCTGCAGGCACAGCTCCTCCAGCGGGCACCGCTTCAGCTCAGGTTCCTGGAACTCCGGCAGTCTGCTGCTCCTTGCACGGCTGTACAGGTGAAATGCCACGCCCTCCTGACACCTCCCTGCCCGCCCCCGCCGCTGCCGCTCGCTGGCCTTCGAGGACCAGGAGCTCTGCAGCGTGGACACCGCCGTGTAGGGGTCGTAGCTTTTCTCCTTGAGGCGGCCCGAGTTGATGACCATGACCACGTCGTCGATCGTGACCGCCGACTCAGCGATGTTGGTGGCCAAGATGAGCTTGCGGACACCAGGCGGGGGCCGCAGGAAGACGCGGCGCTGCTCAGCGGGGGGAATCATTGAATGCAGGGCTAGGATCTGGTATCTGTGCCACAGCAAAGAGTTCTGTTGTTCCATGTTGTTGTCTGGCGATTCCCTGACGGAATGAGTAAAGTTCTGATTGAATCTGTGCGAATGCTGCAGAGCACACATTTGTTACTGAGCTTCTGGTGATGGAAACTGTGAAGAAAAATAGTTCAAAGATTTGAACACGCTGCCAGATGGTTGTCATCGTTGTCACTCGTTCAAGAGCTCCATCGGTGCACATCCGCACCCGCCTTCCTCAACATGCCCTTCTGAACAGAAAGTGCTTGCCAAATTTGCGACAAACATCAAGCAGTTTGGGCAGCAAAGCAAGCATGCTCAGCAAATGTGGGCTACACATCTGATACAATGAAGGACCCCAAGGAAGTCGACAAATGTACCCAAAAATCGTCAACTGCAAAACGATTGATAATGAAGTAATGATGCAGAAATTCCATTACTTGCATGCCCAGCTGCAAAATGAGGGGAATCATCTGTCAAGTATTGCCAAGTACCACATTCACCATACATTTCGCCTTCAGCATTCCTCTGCTATTATCCATTCACTGGCACCCCTTACCTGCCCTTTCCAAACACATCGTTCTCCAGGCGCGACTTCATCCTCATGATCTCGTCCCACCCTGGCATGAACACCAGCACGGCACCCATGGGGATGTTCAGGTCCTTCCTGTCCTGCCTGTACTGCCCCTCGCCGCAGATGTACATCAGCAGGCGATGGATTAGATCCAGGTCCACCTCATCAGCAATGGTGTTGCTCTGGTAGTGATCCAAGGCCATGACGCTGGAGCGCAGGGAGTACGCCTGGTCAGCTGCCTCAACGTGCTCCTTGAGGATCGCCTCCACCTGGGAAGAGGCAAACCCGCATCATGCACCCCTTCTCGCTTAATTTCTGTGGTTTTCCGCCTGCTTCAGCATCTGGCAGCATTTCTCTGCCCTTTTCTGCATTTTGCCACCTGCTTTTGCATCTTGCTCCATTTTTCTGTTTTGGTCCGCACGGTTGTTGTATTTTCTGCCCAAATTCCGATTCTGCTTGCACCATTATTTTCTGCACATTCTTTTGACGTTTTCTACCTGGTTAGGCATTTCCCCTCCCTTGTTTCTCCCTTTCGACACTCACTACCTGTTCCTGCCTTTTCTTCCTTTCCTTCACCTTTTGTTTGCTTCCCTGCATCTTTCTATGTGTTTTGAAAGATTCAACACTTCAATTCCTTTCCTAAAAGCACACTAATTTTCTACTTTCCTTTTTCACCATTAGGCAATCTCTTCTAGTTCTTTGCACACGCCAGATTGACTTCCAGTGTGGAACATCTGGACTTGTCACCTTCCATGTCTCCTGCCTGTCAGTGCCTTCCACAGCACTCACTCTGTCCAACTTTAACAGGCCCCTTGCACTGAGCCAATCACGTTGTTTCTCAGCCGCATGCAATTCTTCCTGCACTCAGAGGCATCCACCTCCTCTCTTGCTGCAAGGAAAGTTCCACTTCCAAAGTTTTGTGCATGCTGGCAAATGCCAGTCGGATGACATGATTCCTTTGAATAGAAAAAACGCCTCCTACATTCTTCAAAGATTGGCAGAACGGAGAGTGCGAGAACAATCACCTAGCTCATGACCCTTCAGCTGTGTTGTGCAACAGCTTGCCACATATCACCGCAGCTGCTTTCACTGCTCTGCCAGCTGCCTACACCTTCCCAGGTTGTTGACTACCAGGATGCGCACCCAAAAATCGAGACATAGCTCCTGTCTTTGATAGTGTTGTAGGGCAGCTCACAAATACGCATCCATTTTTGCGTTCGTAGAAATCTATCCAAACAATACGCTTGTCTTCAACATCATACATACAGTCTTTATAGAAAGCAGCTATCTTTTTTCTTGCTGCTTCCTCTGCCAACCTTCTACTGATGGGTCCTTGCTGCCGGGTGTGAAGACAGTGTTTCATCACATGCAAGAATACAAAGGATCGTCTATACTCATCGGTGATTGCCAGAGCACAACCTCAAAAACAAGATAAAGATCTCCAACCTCTGGCTGTGTCTCACAACTTGCGCACGAGGGCAGTTCAAGCCAGCACGCAACTGGGCACTGCTCTCGTTGTGATTGTGGATTGCTTCACATATACCCAATCTTTTGGGATTCACGGCGATTTGTGCTTTCTTGTCAGGTGGTGCAAGGCTCAAATCTCTTCAATTAGGACAAGGGTGGCACCTGACCTCCTCAAAGTGATGTGCTTCGATGTGAAGCAATAACTTACACCCATGAATGGCATGTCACTCTATTATTAAAACATGAACAATGGTTTTCAATCCCTTAACAATGAAACACACACCTCTTTGTGTCCAAAATGCTGTGCCCACGCCTGTGCATCCATTCCGTTGACCGACTTGATCGCCACATCAGCACCCTTGAGCAGGAGCTGACGGACCTCTTCCATCCGGCCCCGCCCCGCCGCCGCATGCAGCGCCGTTGTGCCAGTCTTGGAGTGCTGCATGTTCACCAGAATGCCCTCTCCACGTGCACCTGCAAAGTCACCACTTTCGAAATGGTCGTGAAATGCTGATTGCTTTTGTTCTGGAATATTCCATCACTTTCAACAGCCCATTGAACAAACTATGCTGCAATTGAGAGAAAAAAGTATGTTCTATTTGATAGACGATTTGACAGGGATGGGAAGATGTTGTGACAGATGCATGGAAAAAATGGGGAATAGGTTCGACCTAGGCCAAATATAGGTTTTTAACCAAGTCCACGCAGAGTGGCATGAAAACCAAGCCCAAACTGAGGCTCAACCTAGTCCAAATTGAGGGTCAACTTAGTCCAGCCATTGGGGTTCGGCCCAGTCCAAATCAAGGCAAAACACATTCCAAACTGAGGTTCAACCTAGTCTGGCCATATGGAGTACAGATGTATGACACCCTTTGTTTAAGATGATGGCCGTGAAGGCTGTTTGAGTGTTTTGGTTTGTAGCTCATTTTGGACAAAGGTTTACCCTCTACACCCTTTAACACTAAAGAGGCAAAAGGGAGACACATAAGATAAATGTATGGCAATCGGAACCCATAAACCCAGCTTGCCTGTAACCTCCATCATATTGTCAAAGTCTTCATCACTTCCACTCGTGAAGGCCAATCGCACAGCCTCTTCCACAGCAGCCCGCTGTGCTGCAGTCGACTGCAAAATGCACACGAGAAGTGAAATGCACTCCATTCCACCGATCTCACCATGGCCAACACAAAAACTACCATAGGTTAGCCGAAAAGTACCCGTGTGTGTGTGGGCACCCTAACAGAATTTGGATGCAATGAGGGGATGGTTTAGAAGTTGTTACGAATTTGTCTTCCTTACGGGTCACTTGGGAGATCCATGAACACAGGGCGGCAACATAACAATCTCTAGCAATGACACCCCATGCACTCCAAAAACCATACCATCAGCAATGTGCACAAGAGCTGAACATAGGCACAGATCTCAAGGAGCACAGAATACATATGCGCCAAACGCGCCTCTGACCGGGTGGATGACAGGCAACAGGGGCGCATTGATATTGAAACACAAGACATGCTTTTGTACAAATGGTCTCTTATGACACGGATGGCAGCCGATGATGCAACGAATAACTTATCATTATGGTACTCTTTGCGGATTGTGAAGAGCATGGGTTCAATCTCTGAATGTGCAACAAACTCACAAATGGCTGCTTCTTGATCCCCATCGCCACTTTCCCATTTGTGACCTCCTCCTCATATCCTGTCAGCCTCAAAATATCTTCCAAGTAAAAGTCCTCAACAGGGAAGGTGCGGCCCTCCACATGCAAAATGGGACAGCCACCAAAGTACTCTGAGAACAGCTCATGCTGGAGGGTAGCTGACATCAGCACCAGTTTCAGTTTGGGGTGTGCAGGCAGGATGTCACGCAGCGTGATGAGCAGGAAGTCCGCAAAGGCATCTCGTTCATGGATCTCATCCAAGATGACATGCGTGAAGTCATCCATGTCACCACCCTGGCAAGGCAACAATGTGTTTAATCACAATTAATTAATCAGTTCACCAAATACCAATTCATCAATTAGCAGCAATGAGAACAACCACAAAAAATCAGAGACAACACTAAGAAAAACTCAATAGCAGCATTTAGTACATACTTCAAACACAGCAGTTGCAAGCGAAGGTTATAAAACAAGCACTGAAAATGAGCTTCAATACAACTGAAATCACAACATGCGAAACAGCGTGAATACAATTGAAATGCAATATGCAAGATCAAATGGATGGAAACGCTATTCTTTAAGTTACCAGGTTTCTGCCAACAAATGATGAAAGAGGAGTGATGAATAAGAGCAAAGGACACGACCGACTGTTGCTAGTACCCAAGGTGCTTGTACCTTTGTTGCGATCCTCAGCAAAATGCCATTTGTGCAGAAGATCAAAGACGACTTTGGCCCGCCCTTGGCTTCCAGCCGAATGGTGTACCCCACATTGTCCCCGACGGCCTCGCCCCTCTCTGCAGCAACGCGCTCAGCGATGGAGATCGCCGACAGTCGCCGGGGCTGTGTGCATATGACCTTGCAGGCTTGGCCTCGGCTCCAGCAGTCGTCCAGGATGAACTGCGGGAGCTGTGTAGTCTTGCCGCTGCCCGTCTCGCCGCACACCAGCACGACCTGGTTCCTGTGCACCGCCTCCAGGATCTCCTCCCTGAACAGCAGCAGCATTGAAAAATGGTTATGGAAGGGCCGAGACTTGAATGCACAATACACTCTAGGAAAATTGGGATATTCAACACAATTATCATGCAATAGGATGGTTCATGGGACAATGTATTCTTGCTGCATTTTGCTGAAATTGTAGTCTCCATGTTTCGCAAACAGTGCTTAACCACATGAACGACAGAACAGCTGAATGGAAATAGACAGCATAGATGAGCAATTGCTATATGTTCAGGTAAGGTGTGCTGCTTTTCATCAGTATCAACTACTCAGTTGATGGAGACAGCGGGTATGGAGCACAAGGAAAGTGGGCCATGATTCCATAGTCTCAACTGCCATGCACAGTTCTCACTGTGGTATCCAATGTAATGATTTGCTATTTGAAACTGCAACTGCACAGCTTGCAGTAATGTGGCTCTGAGTAGTGGTGTTTCATTCACGAGCCCCCAATTGCGAAATGTAGCAGATAAAGCCTATTGCTTACGTTGTGATGTGGCATTTGAGGGTGTGCATGCAAACGCCGGCTACAACAGATGCATGGATTTTCAGTGTTTGCTACATGAGCAGTACATTCATATCAATTCATCAACAGGCACTCGCGATTGACAAACCTTCCATTGCCAGGTAGGTACTAGGGGTTGCTTCATCCGATTGGATATGTGAACCCAAAAGAACACCAGTGCCCAACTGTGTTATGTGCCTTTCTGTTGCGCAAAGAGTCTTGTGCATCAGCTACTACAGTGTGACAAAGGGCCTCTCAAAGTGTTGCTCAGAATGAGGCATGTCCGTTACATGGCATGTTTCCTGCTTGTCACCTGCTAAACGTGATCAGATTCAAATTCAGCAAACATTCTTCACTAAGAATTACAACAAGTATCTCGGTTCATTCTCCACCTGTGCTTGACGATCGGCAATGCCTCCCTCGCCGCATTGATATCTGCCATCGCAGGTTTGCCCCGCCGCTCGCACACACTCCTCCACCGTCCTTTGACCTGCTCTGCAGAGAAATTTGATGCTGAGTTGGCAGCCGCCTTGAATTTCTTCTTGGCAGGCTGCGCCTTTCCATTGGAGCCGTTCGAGTCCGCAGTGCCAGAGCTGCTGGCCTCGCCACTGTCCGATGCCTCGCTTGCCACTGCTTCCTTGATCTCGGACTTAGAGGGCGGGAACCGCTGAAGGAATGCAAATCATCGCATTGTCACATACTTCATTGCATTCTTGACGCTTTCAAACATTTGTGTACATTGGTATTACTAATGTAAGCTTGTCAGGTATTCTCTATAGAAAATTGGGACAACGCACTCAGATTGAGAGCATGGTCATTGTCAGTGTGTTCATACAAAAGTAGCACAGCTTCAACAACAACACACAGCAACAACAGTTGTAACGATTTTTACAAAATCAAGATTCACAGCAAATGAAGCACATAACATTATGCAGCAGAGTCACCTTCTTTGAACCGTGGGGCTCACCTGGAAATGCTGATTGACCACAGACTCTGCCTGTCGCGTCACTCGCAGGGCATAAGTCATGACGGTTGCCTTTTTTCGTGGAGTCTTGAAGACTGTCACCTGCCTGGCTTCGTTTTTACTGTGGACAGCATTTGGCAAGGGCATCAGGAATCAATGGCACTGCAATAACTACTGTAAAATATTCAACCCTTCCGCATCAAAGAATATCGACGTTACGCTTTTTGCTCCGCATTTTGCTTTTCAGAGCGTTATTTCTATTTTTTTAACATTGCCCCGCACAGAAAGCCCAAGATTTGTGTTACTATTTGTAATATTTTCTCCCCAAAAAACATCAAGCGTTATGTTACTATGCGGAAGGGTTAAATAGTGTACAGTAGCTGTTGAATGAATGCGCTCATACGCATTTAGCTGAGGTACTGCCCAATGTACTGCGTCATAGAGAGGCTAGCAGGTTGACTGTTGGGTAGACAATCTCTGATCTTCGTTGCTACAACATAGACATCAACCTGCATGAGGGCAAGCTGGTGAAACCCTTTTGACCCACAACAGTCGTCCCATGCTCTTCCACTTAACGTGCAGGGCATACTCTCAAGGTAGCATATGTAGCATCTCTCCTCACTCACAATGTGTGCTGTTTGTGCCGTGATGGTGGCTCAGAATATGAGTTCCATGCATATGTGGTAGTTACTTTCAGTCTGAGCCACACTGTCCCCTCATGGGCAAAGCTGCGCTCTTGTGTCTGTATGGGAATGGTGGGTATTTTTCAGTCATGTTATTTGTACTTTAACCTGGTGCCATTTGTGCTTCAGCGGAAAACGTGGACCATTGTCAGGTTCTTTACGCATGCCATCAGTGGTGGTCATGGTGGCAATGAGTTGGTGCGTGGCAGGAAAATGGCACCGCAGCAGATGGCATCCGCCGTCAGATGCACTTTCCTGCATCCAACCCCACCATACTCCCAAGCCTCCCCACAAAAACAAGCAAACTTCAAAAGCTTGCCGTCAAAACACAGTGCTGTCAGTGCACATGTCCATCCATTGGTACATGTTCATGAGTGTCACATGATAAATCACCTTTGTATGTTGGGAACAACAAAAGATTGTCGATGCGCAACCATGGCTTCACCTTCTAAATTTGGGGCTTTGCATGACCTTGCACTTATTGCGAAGTGCCATAAGGCCCACATGTCTTCTGTGAGGACAGGGGGAACGGGCACTTGGACTCTGAAATACATTGTTGTTGAAATTAGCCTACATCAATGATAACTGAATTTACAATACAGAAAAACTTCAGAACATTGCGCCGTTACAATCAATCAAACATTGTGAATAATGCTATTGAGAAGCCAAAAAGCACTGGTCATTGTAATTTCTTTTGTTCCCATGAACTGCTATTGCGCCAAACATGAGGCCATTGCTTTGCCCTGCATAGGCAAAACGACGATGTGAATACGCCTTTGCCAAAGCTAACCACCCTCTGCACCCTCTTGCATCCACTGCAGCGCACCCATAGCTCTTTGTGTCAAATCCATATCGACGGCACATGTCGTGGACCACCGCCCGGTCATGGTTGGTGAGGCCTGCTGGGAATGTCAATTCTGCACCGCACAGCCCAGACGCACCAATCCCTCAGCATCCCTGCTGTTTTCAAAGCTGAACTCCTAAATGTGATGCAATCGTTTAGAATAGAAGCTGATGCTGGGCAACAGCTTCCGCAATCCTCACTGCTGCCCACTATCAGAATGCAGCAGACCCTTGTCCATTCATCTGCTGGGCTGCTGTCAAGATTGTCCACTATGGGCACTGGTGCCATTCTGTAGGGCAAGTTGTTCTTCAAGCAGAAGGTGGCAAGCCACAGGGGGTTAGCACATATTATGTATGTCAGTGTTGAGGGGCACGACTTCAGCAGTCATGCTTCGCAACATCATGGCTGACATATTCTGTCAGGCGTCCAGATACCAAATGTCAGAACGTTTGATTGATACTTGATGGATTGGCACACACAAGACTTGACTGATGAAGTTAGATTGATTGACAAAGCAGACTTTATGTTGTGTGTCCACAACCCCATATGTATGTCCATGATGGGGTCCTGCTTCCGCTACCACCGTGCCGGGAGCTGCCGAAAATTCAGCGAATGCAGTTGCCGAAAGATCACAAAGCACTGCCCAGAAAGGGGCTGTTGGGCTCCGCTCACAACCACAAGCGTCTCACCCCGTAGCTAGAACCTATTCGCGTCCCATCGCAAGGCCGGAACCACTGCCGATGTGCTACAGAAGGGCAGAACGAAAAGACACGCACAAGACATGAGGAACTGCGGTGCAGGGCTGGCAGCGGCTGCGATCCACTTTCGCTCCAGCCAACCGCCCGATGGGATTGGTTGGGGATGCGGCACCCCAACTGAGGCAGCAGCAGCAGCAGCTGCCTTCCCTGTCAGCACTAGGCGTTCATGCGCGCTGCGCCTGGCGATGCGCGGAGAAGTAAGCGAATTAGAACCCCCCAAGCTGACGGCCCAAAGGCTCCCATGCACGTCTGTCATACACCCTTGTGGGTTCCGAAGGGGCGAATGTCCCGCATCCTCTTCCCAGCGCAAATTCAATCCAGGAAATCGGGCACGCGCCAGGGCCAGAGATGAGCGGCCGGGCGCGCGCGAGGGCCGTCGATTGGCCTCTTATTCAAGCACCGATGTCGGACACACTGCCTGGACGGCGAGCACGGCGAACGGGGCCGCAGGGCGCAGCCAGCAGCGCCGCGGGATCCCACCGGCGCCGACGACGCTCCATCTGGACCCCAAGCCGCGCACGGCGCCGCGATGAAGCGACAGGCCGAGGTCGGGCCCCGACCCCCCACCCCCCGACCACCCCCACGACACCCCTTTGCCACGGGCTTCATCGCCAATCATGAAGCAGAGATTCGAATCAAGCCATCAGCAAGCCGTCAAACACCCGGTAGTGGCCTCCCACCCAGGCACACAAGCGCAAACCAACGGCAGAATTCCCCACAGCCGATTCCCCTCGCTGCCCTGGCTGTCCCCAACCCACACCATCCTCCAAACACACCCAAAACAAGCAAAAGGAACCCCGAAATCCCAACGCGGGCAACGCTCCCCCGCCTCATCCACCCACCCGCCTCGTCGTTCGCGCGGAACTCGTCCAGCTGCTGCTTGATGGCCATCCTCATGTCCTCGGTGACGGGTCGCAGGCCGGGGTGGATGCCGCCGGGGTGCTGCCCGCCGCGCCCCCTCCCGCGGTCCCTGGGTCCCTTGCCCCTGGCCGGCCCGCCCCGCGCACCCGTCCCGCCGAAGCGCCCCCTCGCCATGCCGCCCTTCGGGGCCCTCGCCTCGCGCCAGGCGGGGGGGGGGTGGGGGGGGTTGTGGGTGGACGGGGAGGTGTGCGTTGAGGGGCAGGTGCATGGCGATTTTCTTGGTGATTTTTACATTTTAGGCAAAATTTTAAGTGATTTTTTCAACCCCGGCGCCTGAGTGATTTCTCCTGGTTGAGAGGGGGGGCAAGGTGATCTTCTAAGCGATTCTTATGACCCCTGCGCCTGGTCGATTTCTCCGGTGCGACGTGCAAGATTTCGATCTCTATTCAAATAGAATCTTTGAACAAAATTCTTCATTCCATTTCGTCATCAAAAAGGTGTAAATTGTATTCCTTGATGGCGATATGGTGGTTTGGACAATTTCGGCTGTGGGTATGTCCTGGAATTCATTCCGGCTTGCGTTGGGTGTGCCTGGTGATGTTTCTTGACTGCTGTTTCGTTCCACAATATGTTTCCACAGCCTTCGACTGTGGACCACAGTCTGTGGTTGTTGTTTGGCTATCACCATATTTGATTGCTGGTTGTCATTACCTCTGATCGCGATTGCTGGTCACTGTGGCGAAACAAAAACATGTCGCGCTAGTGGCACACCCTCCTGAGCAAAATGGTTTGAGACCATCCTGGCTGGGAAAAGTGATGCAGACGATTTCTGAGGAGGAAAGAAAAGAAGGAAGGCTTTTGTCTGCTCATCAGCCAGGCGGCCGCCATCGGGAGATCATGGTCAATTCACAAACGAGCGCCTTGGTGACGTTGAGACCTTCGCTACCTTGAAGGCACCGGAGCTCGCATCAGCCTGAATGCAGAAAGAGATCTCCACACTCGCAAGAAGAGCAGCGAATAATTGTGACAGGCCCCATGGATGCATGTGCCCAAGGCGAATCAGCTGGTTATATCCCCCTCGAGCCGGTCACTCTCAAATGCAAAGAGTCAAAGAATTGCGCCCCGGTCAATTGCCCCCTGTGCTATTCCCGCGAAATGGACCGCTCAATTGCGCATGCTGCCCAACAGCATGCACAAGCCCCATGCTTGCACAGCCGACTCCCTGTGAGGCAAAGTACACCACTGGTACAGCATTGCAGCTGCGCAAAGCAGCGCACTACTGCGGCTGCACAAGACGCAGCAGATTCCACCCACACGGTGTCAATCTCCTGGCCATGCAAATGGCCGCGGGATCACGCCCCAAGAGGTCCCTGCGCCCAGTCCTCAACAATAGACGAACAGGAAAGAATAAAGCTCGCCGCCTGCAGCGACGCTCAACCAGCGGCACGTGGTCGCCCCGAAGCACCCTCCCGGGCGTCATCGCCTTCGGCCCCAAACTTCCGACGTCACAACCGGCACAGCACTTTGCCCACTGCTCCACATCACGAACCTCTCATTCTGTCCAGTGAACCAGCCTGATCATTGCAGTACAATGCTCTGCACAATGATTGCACCGAGTGCGCACGGAACTGAGAGCACCCGACGGGCGAGGCGCATCACCGCTTCTTCTTGCCCTTGTTTTCTTCTGGTGGTGGCGGCGGCTTCTGGGGAACGAAGGCCTTCCTGGCCTGCTCTAGGGCCGTGAAGAACACGCAGCCGCCGATGGAGATCCACACCAGGCGGGGCTGCCAGCCCTTGAACAGCGCCGTCACGCCCTCCTCGCGGATGACCTTGGCGGTGCAGTCCAGCACGTTCTGGTACTGGCCGGTGGCACCCTGGGTCATGAGCCTCGTCTTCATGACGTCGAAGGGGGTCGTCAGCAGGCCTGGTGGGTCAGTCATCACTCATTTTAACATAACAAGGGAATGAGGCAGCCGTCGGCTTCCAGTTTTGCCCGTGCAAAGCAGTGTCTATGGTAGGTTCATTGGATTCTAATGGTCAACACACAGTCGTCATCATCATCATCATCATGATCACTGAGGCGTTGTTTGTGCGTTCGTCAGCCGCACTCGCACGGTCGCTCCCAGGCACAGGAAGCAAGCCGCAACCAGATGACATTACAAGACAAGTGTACCAATCAAATACTGTACAAGAAAATGTCCATTCTTATTAAATCACCATGTTCACCATATTCACCATGTTTCTGCCACCATGTTCACCATGTGTGTCCAACACATAATATCATTCCTCATATTCACCATATGTGTCCAACCACACCATATTATTCCTCACAATCATCATTATTTACAGAACAAGGCAATGAGACACACATTCTCTGAATCTATCAACTCCTAATGCCGAGAAGCGCTTGTCGGCAAAAATACATCAATAGAAGCGTCCTCGCCAGTTGGCGAGCGGGAACCGAAGCAAAAAGACCCGACGCAGTCACGTGGGTCAATTTGGATCGAGAATGCGTCAACCCGCCAGTCAGTTTGCTGAGCTCCCAGTCTCGGGGGGTTTGGGGGGGTCAGAGTGCATAAACTATTAAGAATTGTAAAAGAACAGCTGCCTAAATCCGTTAAAGTCCACCGAAGACAACTGAACCACTAACGGCCGGGAGAGCTAGAACGACGACTGTGCAAGCCGTTGGATGCCAGTCCACCAACGCCATTAGTCATCGCTTTCACCACATTTGCCACCACCGTCCAGGCAGTGACATGCACAGTTGTGTCCATGGTGCAATATTCTGATGCTTCCAAAGCGGAGACGTTTCCTTGTGTTTACCCATTTGGGAGCACCATTGGCCATGTAGTCGGGGATGACAGAAACTTGAGGGATGCGTGCGCCTCCAGGCAAATAGGGAGTAAGTGCCATGTTGGTTCAGTTTGATACATTGTGAATCCGGACATGCAGCATGTGGTTTGATGCTGTACTGTCCCTTGTCTTGTTTCGACAATATCGGTCGGTGCAGCTCAGCTGAGTCAAAGGGTAGCTAACGCCCTGTTCAGAAGCAGCCATTATCTGATCAAAGGTAGTCGACGCCATTTGGGCCACACAAAAACAACAGTCTCAAAAAGAAACAGCTTAGTTCAACAACTATTTAACAACACCTGCTTCACAACAATGGCCATTGAGCACCGTTCTGGACGTGTTTAACTTGTGTTAGATTCTCGACAATCGTGCATCGGTGGCTTTTAAGGAAAGTGTGATACAATAGGTTGCAATTGCCGCAAATCCTGTACTGCCAGCGCTCAAGAGTGCTAAATTATCGAAAACCTCGTATCAACAGTTTAAATGTATAGTGTTCCACGAGGGCTACGTTGCTGAGAATAGTGCATTTATCATCGGAATAAACCGTTGTAAAACTGCGCCAATTTGGCGTTGTTTCTGGTGCCAATTTCCACAAGTGCCATGCACTCAAACAGCAGATTCAACACCTGGCATGTTCACGTAGTTCAGCAGTCTGTAGGTCCGTTCACTTCAGTTTGTTTCAGTCAGCGCGTTTGCAAAGTCTGCTTCTTGCCTGTGACCCCTCCCGCCACGGCTCCAGCCACGGCCGCCTCTCCAGAGTGTATGGGCCTCAGCACGTGTTCCTCGTAGGTCGACTTCAGGAACTCGTAGGTGAAGAACTCGATGGCGTCAAAGGGCAAATCCCTCAGCAGGAAGGCGCCGTAACCAGCAAATAAGCCCTGTGGACCCTCTCGACCAACGATGCCCTTAACCTGCGCATTGCCAATTGTCGCAACACCATTGAATAAGGCAAACTACGCATGAACAAACAAAGGCTAATTATGCAACAGTATGTGTGGAGATAACAAATTGAATGCAAAGCATCGTTGTAGCAAAGCATGTGGAGTTCTCATTTGCAAAATCTTGCAAAGTCCGCATTCTGTGAATGGAAGAGGGAGCCGATGTCTGCCCTTTTTAGGTGATATTCCTTATGGATGCTTCCCAAATCCTTTATACTTCTTATTAATAATCTTCCAGCACGGCACCATAGCACCTGTGCATGCAAACTGACCAGTGTACCTCGTGCACTTGACGCTGTGAGTTGTTGTTCGTGAAACACTGCCCATCATTGTGCTGCTAGGGAACTGTGTCTGTTCCGGTGGCATTGGTCTGTGAAGAATTTTCCATAACTGTGAGGTTGTCGTGCTGTCTGTTCATCTATTGACATGTGCCTTCATCCACAATTCGTTTTCACTTTGCCCACACAGCTGCACTCACTCATTCTCAGTCCAGGGGTGCGTGCACTACATCACATGTGCTCCTGTCTTCACAAAGACTCTTCCAGCATGCATTCCTTCATCCATTCATTCTATTCATCCATCGCCTTCATTGCAATCATCAAATGGATCCACAGTCACCAACAATCAACTTGCAACAATCATCCATTCATTCATACATACTTCAGTACATTTTTCCATCATGCATATATATCACAGCACATACATTCATTCCATCCTGCACAACACCCCATCACCACCCACCGCGCCAAAGAATTTCCGGAACTCCCCCGTTTGCATCCTCTGCTTCACGACCTCCGTCGGTACCCGTATCGTGGACGCCACCAGCCCTGCCATTGCCCCTGCCAGCAGCGGCCCCGCCTTCTCCTGCTCCTTGGGCAGCATCTCCGACCCCAGCTGCTTGAAGGGCTCATAGACAGCAAAGAACAGGGCAGTGGCAGGCGCCACGCCAGCCAGGTTGCCAAAGATGCCCGAGTACAGCCGGCCCGCGCCACCACCCCTGAGCAGGGCGCGCATGCCGCCGCCAGAGCGCATGGCCTGGAGGCGGGTCTTGATCGTGTCGATGGGGAAGAGGGCTGGGGCAGGGGCAGGAGAATGATCGAATTGCAAATGGCTGCATTAGTCCATGCGCAACAGAACACTGCCCTTTGCAGGCAATGATGGGCCTCAAGCCCCACCCAGGCGTTGTTTCAAATGGTCATTGACTTCCATGAAGGCAGAGGAGGTTAGCTTTGTGGAAAAACATTTGTTCCTTGCAGGCGAACACAGCCAGTGAACTCCCTGTACGTGGAGCCTTGATGGAATCTGTAGATTTAGGAACAGACACCGACATTGGACCCAAGCGCTTCAGCTCCCTGTGGGCCTGGGAGCACACTTGGCCAATAGAATAAAAAGCAAAAGAAGCATTTTGCCACAAACGACTTGTGAAAATCGACGGCTCCATTCAGGGGTTGAGATCCAAACTTGTGGGCACATTCGAAGTCCTGCCAGTACAGGACAGTGACATGCCACCAACAATAGTAAACTCTACGTACCATGATGAACAGTAGTAGCACGCATCAAGGCCAAACAGCAGCATGCAAGCCCCATCAATGGCGGGTAAGAAGTGCATATAATTGGGACCAAACACTCATAGCCATGAACAGCACCCCGCAGCTCACTGAATCGTTGCGACTGTTTTGGAAATTCTCACAACGTAGGCTGAGTGGATCAACGTGTTGATGTCAACACTGCCATGTTTTAACACATGCAAGCACTCTGATACACTGATCTCCCTTGCAGCAAGGGTGTCCTCTGGCAGCAACCCCGTGGACAATGTGGCCACCAGTGGTATATTAATGTTGCTATCAAGCAAAGTACATCTCTCTATTGCCAGTACTACAACTTCATAAATCATTGGGCCACTTTGCTGCTGCTGGACTGATTCACCCACCTGCTTCCACAGTGCATCCCGCCACAGCTCCAGCCAACAGGTTGCCTGCCACGACACGCCATGTGGCGAGCTCATCTACAGAAGCGATCAACCATCCTGGTCCACCACGACCTGCCTCACTTGCACCTACAGGGCACAACAAGATAATTTTCAAGTACACTGCTGTCAGCCGAGACAAGGCACATCATGCACTGAAGATTCCCTCCCAGGGAGCCAACAAAAAGGAAGGTAGAGTACAATGAAACAACAATGAAATTAAACAATGCGATTTCAATCACCCTGGAGTTGTGGAATTTTTTCCACATTGCCAAGCGTATTGTGATTGGATTCTACACAGGGTTTCGAATGCAACACCCAATACACTGACGTCTAGAACGGGCATTAGAATTAAGAAACAATCAGGGATCACACCCAACCACCGATTGCATTCCATCCACAATGTGATCTGGGGCGATGATGCCCGGGCACAAAGTTACATGCCATGGCCGCCTCAGCAAAGCTCAGAACATGAGCTCCATCAATTTTCTGGGAATCATCTTTCAGACTCCTTGCACGCATGAACGTGGCACGGTAGGTTTGAATCGGGGGAAAAGCACTCGGTGACGACACATAATGCTAAAGACTGCGCTGGAGGAACCGTTCCTTCAACGGCCATCAATTGTCTGCAATTGTCAAGGCCCATAGGCGTTACGCCCCTCGCGGAGCGTGCGCGAAAGGGACCAGCCACACCAGCGCGGGCAGGAGCCACGGCCACGTCCCCAGCCTCCCCATTTCACTCCCCATCGCCGCAAATCAGCAAACAATCTCGAACCAACATCGTCATTTGCATTTGGAATTCATCGCCCTGCTGGCTCAGGGACAACGCATTGCGCCCTTTTGCCAACAGCGACCAAATTCCCCGCACTCCGTCCCTTCCCCACCATACCTTTAAGCACCCATAAACCTCAGCGTTCCGCTGACAGCCTACAAAGCGATTATGCAACCTGAGACTGGATTTGACAGCATTGCCTCCAGCCTGAGCGCAAGGAAGCACTCTGATCACTTCAGTTCAGCTCAAATGCGTCCCAGGGAGCATTCCCGTACTTGTCCTGAGGTCTCCACCCGCCGTGGTGGACAGCGCAGCGGGGCATCTGCCAATTGGCCCTCCCCGCCTCTGCCGCCGCCCCGCGCTTTGCATCCCGGCGGCCAACTCCCCGGGCTGGGCCAGCTCGAAGCGAAAATCCGCCGCTCGGGAGTCGCCCTCGCGCGGCCTCTCCCGCGCCCCCAGGGGCAGCGCGCGGCTCTCAAACTTCATGGCGACAGGGCCCACCCAAGGACGCCAGGAGTGCTGCGTCCAAATTAGGGGCCCAGAACACCTCACTGACATCGTATCTGTACGTACAGATACGACCGTGTCATTTAGCCGTATCAATCATTAACCGTATCAACTAACCGTATACGGTTGTGACTTATTCACATCAGTTCCTTGAAAGATCGTTTGTTGTAGTGTATTACCCCTTTCCCACAATAGTTATGTTGTTGTAACCATAACTGACTAACAATATTCACGTACATTTAGATCTGTACTGCAACGCACATGGTGTGTTAGCACAAACAGGAGTACTTTACAAACCCTCACAACCCACTATATCACACAGCCCTAGCCACATTGCTGTGCCCAGTCACGCACCCACATGCACACCCCACCCACAATACAATCACCATATACTCGTAGTCTTGCTCAATACGCCCCCACTGTTGAACTTCAAAATGTCAAATAAATAAAATGTTAATAAAATCTTAACACACCTGTTGGTCCTGTTAGTTAACGGCGATGTTAGTCTACAAAGGGTTGCAAACCATCAGAATGTGCAAGATGCAATCGACCATTCGGATCTTCCACTTCCCACAAAACACGTGACCTACACCTCCAAATTTCCCATGGCCCAAACCAGTAGGGTTCAAACTTCATGTCCAGTTGCTTAGCTCCCACATAATCAAATAACCAAACTTTTTGACCAATCCGTTATGCTCAGGCAACACATCGCGTTGATAGTTGGTCATTTGTCTTCTTGCTTATCAGCTCCATCCATGCGTGTACTCGACGCCAAATTGTTGGTCCAATATGCCACATGGCATCAAGTGCATGTAGCGTCACAGCATTTGGTGTGGAGTTGATGGCTTTAGTCACTTCAGTTAGTATTGTATGCCATCGTCGATGCCCTGCCTCGTATAACATATGACGCAACTGTCCAATAATAGTGCGAATAGCACGTTCCACAAACCCGTTTGATTTATGACTATGTGTGTGCTATCACATAATGTGTGATGTGTCGACTCTTGAACCATGTATCTATACGATGGGATGTATTATATGATACTGAATCCGTCATCACTCGATTGGGCTTCTTCTTTAAATGTGTCCACCACTCCAAGCTCTGCACCACTATTGCACTAGTTGATTAAGCACATGCTTGTGCCATCACTGACCAACTCAGCACATCCGCAATCGCAAGGATGTAACTGTATCCTCCACTTTTCTGTAGAGGCCCAATGAAATCCACCGCAAGAAACTCGCCAAGCTTCATTGGGTTCCACATGTGTCCAAGTGGATCTGAATCCTTCCTAACTGTTACGCGCACCGGCCTGATGTGGGGGACGCCCTACTAACGGCCCTTGGTGTGGGGGACGCCCTGCCCAAGATAACTATCCTCAACCCATGGTAACCATTCTAAGTATTAGGATATGGGAGTAGGAGGGGTGGTCCCGCCTAGGTCCCCGTAAGGACCTAGGTGCCCGGCGTGGCGGGTCCGCGGCTCAAAGAGGGCAGGTACCCCACACCCACATGCTTTACGTATCATTGGTTCCGGAGCCACCTGGGGGTGGCTGCCACATTTTCGCCTGGGCGGGCGAGCGAGCCAAGAACACTGGGCCCCTTCCCCGGCCTCCTCCATGGAGGCTGAGGAGACGGATCCTGAAGCCCGGAAGGGCACGCCCGAATCTTCGGGCGAGGAAGATACACCTCGGAAGGGGACGCTGACCAATCTGGTCGGTGAGGACGTTACAGCCCGGAATGGGCAGGAACAAAAAGAAGTCCGGAAGGACGTTGCCGGCCCATCGTCAGGTCGAGCTGAGCCGGAAGGTAGTGACCAGCCGATGGCCAAGGCGGAGGAAGCTCTAGGAGAGGAAGCCCCAGAAGAAGAGGCGCCAGAGCCGGGTACGGTGGCGGCCCTACTGAAGGCGCCTGGAATCATGGAGCTCTTGGAGCAAATGGCGGCTGCTGCGGCCAAGCAGGCGAGAGAGAAGCGGGATAAAGAGACCGCCGAAAAGATCGCCTTCATGGAAATTGCAGCGGCGCGGCTCAAAAAGAAGCCCGAAGGAACGAGGTGGCAATGAGGAAGGCGAAAAAATAGAGCCGTCAAGCCGAAGAGGCCAAGTCCTTCGCTGAACAACATATGGCTCAGTTGAGCGATCGCCTGCTGAAGCAGCAACTGCGGGCGTGCAAGGCGGAAGAGAAGGTCGCTCAACAAGCGAGACAGCCTGAAAGGGACACTAGTCCATCTGAGCCGCAAATGCCAATGATTCCAGAAGCGGAGGGCGACTGGAAGACGGTCGGCAAACAACGGCCAAAGCGGAAGAGCCCGTCGCCAGGTGAGACGGTGCCAAAAGTTCGGACAGACTCGCATAAAGGCCGGAAGGTCCAGCCCGTTGGGCAAGTGGATGAGATCGAAGGCCGAAAGGTCAGGACTCAGGAGCCGCGGGTCAGTTCACAGGTGCACATAAGAACACCTAGTGAACCAGAGCAAAGTAGCAACGAGTCGCTCACAGAAAGCGCTCATGCTGTATGTGGACCTAGTCCGGAAAGGCCAAAAGGTCATGAGTGGAGCCCCCGGAGACCCGCATTACCGGAGTGGGGACCGTGAGAGAGCGCCAGGGTGCTGGAATTCATTCCAGACACTGGTACTCCATACAGCCGGCAGCCACCATGCCGTGCTATGTGGATTAAGTTCCACAGTGATCTTGTTGATGAGTTGGACGAAGGCTGGCAAATGGCCGCAGAAAGATTTGATGAAAAGCTAACCACCGCGAGATTGGTGAGAATCTAGAGGTGGTATGGTCCCGGAATGGCAGATCAAATTTGCTAGAGAGGACCCGAATTGGCCTGAAAAAATGGCCTTTGCGCTCAGGCATATCCCTGAACCATGGGACTTGAGCAAGGGAATGCCGGAAAGGCCAGACCCCAATGATCCTCACGAGCGGTGGGAAGAGATCTCAGAATTGTCGTTCTCGTCATGCGCTTCTCCTTTGCCGGGAGATATGTCAACATGGGCGCAAGTGCATAGAATGGAAAAAGAGAGACGACATATGCGAAATCGAGATCAGTTCGCTCGTGCGAGGAAGTTGGATGAGCAAAAGGCTCAAAAGGCCAGCCAGCGCAGAGAGCTGAAAGCTTTGCGGCGTGAGTGGGATCGGCAGTTAAATCCCCAAAAATATGAGCGGAAGAGAGCTCATAAACGCCAGCGCAAGGCTGAGATCCGGCGGTTTTTTGCTGAAGGAGGCAGCCAAAAGGCACAACGCCTTGAGGCTAAGCCGGTGGCCGATGAGCTGGATCTGGCCCAGCAAGCAAAGGCTTTCGCTGAGCTTGAGAGGGCCCAGCCACGGCAAACGGCCAGATGGGCTGATGAGTCGAGTGGAAGCAACAGTGGGGTAACCCACGCCGCTCGATTCGCCCCTCCACAGCCTGCAAAGGCACCACCTCCAGTTGAGAAGACTAGCGTTCCCAAGGAGGCAACATCTTCTAAGGAGAAGAAGAAGCCTGGAAAGGCAAAGGAGCAGCCTAAAAAGGCCCAGATGCAGCCTAAAACGGCAAGGGAGGAACCTCAAGGAACTCAGAGAGCAGTTCCAGGTAACATTGCCGATGCAGTGTCTCCCATTCACCCTGCTG